TATGTGTCCATATGCACCAAAAACAAGTTTTCGATTCTCTATGAGGCAAAGTGATTTGGTCTTTAAATATTCTTAAATGTTCTTTCAAACATGAAGAATTCATATTTACGGAAGATATTTGGTATCATGATGGCAGGTGGAGTATAAGATACAATGCACATTATCACATAGGTGCTTGACACTGAATTCTCAATAAATGTCAGACGAATGCATCAGTGAATAAATGTCATTTCCCTTTCTTTGCAAAGGAACCGTGTCTTCATTTTTCACCAGTTACTAACATACTTGCACCGTGGGAATTTTTGCTGGAGAGTAATTTTTATTCCCATAGGCTTTGTTTTGAAAATACAAATCCAACAACAGCAATTTAAGCGCTTTGCTTTTTCTTAAGAGCCTTTGCTAGATTACAAAATAACATTTACAAGCCACATGGCCTAAGATGATATGGAAAAATTAAATCCCATCTATAATTTGCCATGAAGGAGTAAAGCTAACAAGACACAACAAAAGTGGAAAGTATAATTGTTGCACTACTGGAATCTGACAAACATTGTAATTATCAGAGTCAAAACAGTGACCAAATTTCAGTTGGGATTTGTTGTGGGCGGTGAGGTTGTGATGTCAGCAAGTGATTGATGAAATTTTGACAAGAGTTTTGTTATTTAGTAGAAGACTTTTAATAAAAGTTAGATTTAATGGGATGAACACATATCAAAAGAAGTGAGGAAGATAGATATATCAGGGATTGAGTGTCACTGCTAATTTATATCCCAAACTTCCTTTGTTATCTTGTCACACAAGCTGAATCTTGGGGCTCAGAGAATTCATTGGCTCAGGTGGAGGCATTTCCATCAGGGTATTTTGTGACTCAATAAAGAGCAAGATGAATTTAGGGCTTGGAAAAAGCCCATTGGAGGAGGCTTCCGCATCTGGGTCTGGATGGTTTAACTTAAACATCTAAACTATCGGCTTCTACTATACACAGTCACTCTCAGCTGTGTCAAAGTGTTTGGGATATCAAAGACCAAAGTAGAATTAAAACTTTGCAAATCACTATGAAAGTTATAAACGTGCCTTTAACTCGATCCTGCCATTCTGCATCCAGCACTCAAAAATATAGCAGGGTGTGCGTGAGCACACATACACGATTTGATTTTCACTGTTTATCTCAGCATACATTATCTACATTTGTGAAATATGTCTCACATTAATGGGAATAGAGGTTAGATTAACATGTAACTCCATAATAGAATCCTGTGTAGTAGCTTAAAAATATATAGAGATAGATAGCTACACATCCAAAAGTAAAAATGCCATTGGCAGTACATGTCTAACACTATTTTTGTTACCAATGACACTTATTTTTTATTTATTTATGTATTTTAGAGGGAGAGAGAGAGAGAGAGCACAAGTGGGAAGGGCAGACGGAGAGGGAGAGAGAAACTCAAGCAGACTCCGTGCTGACTGTGGAGCCCCATGCAGGGCTGGATCTCATGACCCTGAGATCACGACCTGAGCCCGTAGCTTAACCAATTGTGCCACCAAAGACATTTATATGCATACAAATGCACACACTCCAAATTGTTAATAAAATTATCACTTGAAATCATGCGGGATTTTCATGTTCTCAGCAATACATTTAAAAATAATTATTTGACAAAAATAAAAATAATATTTGAATATTTTAAAATAAACACCTATTAGGTTAGTCTTCAGAAATTAATACAAATTTTGAAAATTTTAGCCATGGGATGAATATTTAAGGATTTAAGTCAAACTTTGAAAATTCAGAGATGAAAAAGGAAATTGAAACTTTCAGCAGAATATGTAAATCCCAGGTATAATTAATTATTTATTTACGCAGCTTTTTATCATGGTATGTTTCTTTCCAACCGAAAACTTCATATGAATCTAGTAACAAGTATTAATGTCAAAGTACCAAAGAACCCAAAAATGTGCCAAGAAGTTTCGAATTTCAGTGAATCTGCGGTGGAACAGTTGCAGTTCCCAATCAACACACAACTTCACGAGCAGCGTAGTCCTTTCATTTAAATGAGCACAACAAGCATTCTTTCCCTGAACTATTTCTTTTATTGTGGTAAAATATATAGAATGCGGAATTTACTATTTTAACTGTACAGTTCTGTGGAACTATGGCCACTATCCATTTCCAGAAATTTTTCATCTTCCCCAAATGAAACTGTATGCATTCAACACTCACTGCCCATTTTCCCCTTCCCCTTCCCCCCCACCCCGGCCCCTGGCAACCACCCTGCTATTTTCTGTCTCTATGAATTTGACTACTCCAGGTGCCCCATCTAAGTGGAATCAGACCGTATTTGTCCTTGTGGGACTGGCTTATCTAGCTCAGCATAAGGTCTTCAGGGTTCATCCAAACTGTAGTGCGTGTCAGCCTTTCCTTCTTTTTTAAGGCTGAATCATGTTTTATTGTAGGTATATACTACATTTTGCTTTTCTGTTTATCTGTCTATGCATACTTGGGTCGCATGGATCTGTCAACGCAGCAAGGCCTCAGCTTTGCAAGAGCAACGTGTACGATGGGCCGAGGTGCTGAGAGAACTGCAGACAGGAAGCAAGGCTGCCTCTGCCCAATCAAGGCAAGGCGCCAGGAGAGTGGCAAGTGGGAAGGAGCAGTGAGCAGATGTGACAGAGGGTGTGCAGAGAGAATTGATAGAAACTGGCAAATAATGGGGCAGAGAATAAGGGCGAGCAAAGTCACAAGTGGTGATGCTAATGTGATGATGTGATGATGAGAAGTGACTTGGAAGGGAAGATGAATTCAGCTGGAAATGCTGAAATTGTGGTGCTGGTGAGACAGAGGGGTCAAGGCGTCTACCAGAAAGCTGCCTGTGGAAGAGAGAAGCTCAGCAGAGGCATCAGGTTGGGGATGGACAGCCTGGCCAGTCCGGTCGGTGCACAGAAGAGAGTGGGACCCCGGCTCGATCGCTGGGAAGTGTACACATTTAGAGAGAGTAGGGAGTCAAGCTGCGAAAGCAGAAGGAAGGGGGTTTGGAGGGATGGTTACAAAGTTAGAAGGAGAAACAAGGACACAGTGGGAGCCCAGAAAGCAAATTTCAAGAAGGTAGAATTTGAATCCGCAGTGTTGTGTAGGGGAGTAGAGGATATTACTCACAAAAGGTATTGAATGCAGACAATTACAGTTGTCTGATGGGGGGAGGGCGCGAGGGGGGGGGGCAGTCAGATTTCAAATTAACTCATTAACCAAACAGGGAACCAAACACAATCCAACATGGAAGTGGGGTGTGGATGATTCTGGCACAGGGAGGAGAACAGAGGTTTCCTCCCCTGCCCGTTGCCTGAGGATCTAGATAAAACAGGAAAAAATGGGGCGCCTGGGTGGCTCAGTTGGTTAAGCGACTGCCGTCGGCTCAGGTCATGATCCTGGAGTCCTTGGATCGAGTCCCGCATTGGGCTCCCTGCTCGGCGGGGAGTCTGCTCCTCCCTCTGACCCTCCCCCCTCTCAGGTGCTTGCTCTCTCTCATTCTCTCTCAAATAAATAAAATCTTAAAAAAAAAAAAACCAGGAGAAAATGTATTTGAAAATTGTGGGATTATTAAATCCCAGAAGAGTGAAATCTGTATGAAAATCTATAGAAGAAAACATTCCCTTTGCTGACTCAGGCACTGCAATGATAGATTCCTACAGCTGCATGCAACCCACACGCACCGCAGCTTCGTTAGGACTCAGTGCGAGCAGCTTTCAAATCCTTACGGAAGCCCCAGCCCTGAGTTACAGGGCAGCCCCAAGCCTCCCCAGACACGTCCCCGGACTCTTCAGCCCTTGGCTAGCTCCTGTGGCCAACAATTCTGACCGCTTTTCCCGCTCAAGCGTTCTCGAAGCCTCGATCTTAACCGCCCTCAACGCTGTTGTACGGCTCATCAAAGAAACCTTCCTCCTCCGTGTGTCCATTTGCACTTTAGGGGAACGGCATTTCTGGGTTATTTATATTTGTGGGAGAGTCAAGACTCCAAATTTAGGGCTTTATTATCTGATCTCTAAACGGCCATTGTTACATATGGGGCAGATGGTAAGCCAGAAAAGGTTGACGTTAAGTCCACCAGCGGGGATCAGAGGCATCCCCAAACCCGACCCTGGAGATGACAAAGCTCTCGCCCCAGTGGAGGGCCCAGGGTCTGCCATTGTTCCACCCCCTCAGGCCGACCCCAGGGGCAGCCTCGCGCTGGCTGGGGCTTTGGCGCAGGGACGCGGGGGCGGGGGGGGCTCATGGCCTGGAGAACGGGGTGCCGCTTACCCTGCGGCTGATCTCGAGGGCAGCTTCCGGAGCCCTGACTAAGCTCGTAGGGTGCAGGGAGATGCGGGGCAGACGGTTCAGGTCCCAGGCCATCGGGGCACCAGGGAGGCGAGCAGCACCTACCATCCACCCAACCCAGCCCCACAGCTCATTGTTCCGTTACCAACAGTTACCGCCATCTCGGCGACTTAAAAGCCAATCCAAACTAGGGAAGATTTAAAGCCAGTCCTTCTATGACGTTTTCACGTGTGGCCCTGCAGTGCCCACCGTGTCGTACCTCGGACACCGTCACGTTTCTTCAGTGTTCGGTGAAGCTTGCTGGGGGTGCCAGAGGTCGGGTGATCAGCTATGCCAGAGCACCCCCAATGGCAATCACCCACTAACAATCATTTCATTGATCTGAACTCTAAATATCAGAAAACTTAGCTTTCCCAAGATGAGATGTACCACTGGCCGCATATGGAGTGTGGGGGTGAAGGAATGCCCTGCAGAATCCTAGCGGAGCCTGAAGCAAAAAAGAAAAAAGAAATCAGGACTGCTCATCCCGCCTTCATTTAAAATTTTGACATTCTGCTCATCATGAATGCTGTTGTATTAATTTTGAATTTCTAAAAAAAAATATTGCATAAGACATTTGTTTTGATTGCTGAGTTTGGATGCTTTACATTTTTGTACTAAGGCCAGTGTCTTACTTGGCTCATCCTAGCCCCAGTCCCAGGATGCAGGTGGAGGTAGCAGTTATCAAGGAGCCCCAGGTCCCAGGCGCACAGAAAACTGCAACTCTTGGCTGATCGTATAGTGAAGGGTAAGTGCATTTTGGTTTAGCAGCTGAAAAGTCCTCCCTCTGGCAGAAAATGGGTAAGTTGAGCCACTGTTTGGCAAGTTTTTTCCAATGTTCAAGTTGTTGTTGTTGTTGTTGAATTTCGAACCTCTTGTGTAGGCTATGTTATGATCTTATTTATGTGAGTTTTGTTCCCCACTAGCTTGGGACACTTTGGAGGCAGGATTCTCTCCGTGTCATCACTATTTTCTGCCCGGGGCCTAGTACACTGCATTCAGTAAATGTTTATTCAATTGAATGAGTTGGTTTCTTGGGTCCAAATTTGAACTTGCAATCGAGAATTAAATGTAGCTGTTAGAAATGGGTCAGGCTACTTGCATTAAAAAAAATGCTGGTGTTGGAATAGAGCGTTTAAAAATGTCTCGGGGAAATCAAACACACACTCTTTTAGTACTTCTGAAATGTGTTTGGGTCTGGTAGAGGTGGGTGGGTAGAAGTCTTCCAAGTTATCACAGAAGGAGGGATCATTTGAGAGCGATTGTTGAAGTGGTTTTATATCCCAGAAATAAAAATCAGCTGAGAGGAATGATCCACTGAGAAAATGCATAAAATAATTTTCTGCTCTCTTGTCTCCCATTTTTGCTGTTAAATATGGGTTATAGAATTTCAAATATCATTCATGTGTCTGCTACATGAAAAAATGGAAATATATTTTGTTCAACTTCGTACATTACACAAATGTGAGTTTTAGAATCATATGCAAAATACTTTTACAGAGCGTCTTACATAAGTAAACTACTAGTCAGTTAATGTCTACTAAAATCACATTTAAAAATTGTAACCTTTATTTTTTAAATCTTTTTACTCAATATTAAGAAGAGAAAAAGAATTTTTAAAAAAGCCCTATTCTTAGTAAAGGAACTCAGAAACTCATTATAAGGTCTTAATGTATTCTCTCTTTGAGAAAAATTCACAATTTATTTTATTATTTTTTTAAGATTTTATTTATTTATTTGTCAGAGAGAGACACAGCGAGAGAGGGAACACAAGCAGGGCGAGTGGGAGAGGGAGAAGCAGACACCCCGCTGGGCAGGGAGCCCGATGTGGGGCTCGATCCTGGGACTCCAGGATCATGACCTGAGCTGAAGGCAGACGCTTAATGACTGAGCCACCAAGGCACCCCAAAATTCACAATTTAACTGATCACAAGGACTAAAGTAATGCAAATTTAATTACAGAATGTCAAAGATGGAGGTTAGCGAAGCACTTTTTTGGTAAAAAGGAACTTCCTAGAAATCCTCACATTGGCGGCACAAAATTTTTACAAAAGAAGTATCCCTAGCAGAGTGAGCAGAGAGATTTTTTTTTTTACCTCATGTGAGATGGGATTAGAGCCTGAAGAATTCAGCTTGAAATTTTAAAAATCCATGTAAAATGTACATTCTGCTTTACAATCAATCTTTTTTTAATATAAAAATAAAGTTGCTTTCCTACCTCCCCTCAAATCTTTGAGTAATATTTACACTGAAGCAAGACACCCTGTGTTTATCCTGTGGCTTTACCTCCCTGGCATATTGCCAGTGCCTGCAGGGGTGTGCATACCCCAGTTTGAAAGCTCTATCATATCATGTATGTGGCTTTGGATAAGAAGAAAGAGCCTTTGCTCCAAGTCAGGGCATGTGGGGTTTGGTCTCAGCTCTGACATTAACTAGTTGTTGGCCATTTTGAAGTCACTTAATGTCTCTGGGCTTCAGTGTCTTCAGTAGCAAAATGAACAAGTTGGGAGTTTAGCTCAAAAATCTACTATTTAACACTCCTCTAGACAAATAGTATGTACTGTTCACAGAGTAAAAGTTCATGTTGAGATGTTGACATGCGGTTGTTTTTTAAGAAGAATTTTCCCGTGGAAAATGTGTGAGAAAAAAAATTATGGGTGTGATGGTTATCATGAAAGCTAAATAATTTTTAAAAAATATTCTTAATTTTGCCTTGAGTAATTCCAATAATCAGCCTGGATGCTATTTTTCCAAGTGAGTGAAAAAATATTTATTGTATGAAATAATCATTATCAGCCATTTTCTACTGTGGAGAATCTGCATTGAATGAGAAACATATCAGCCACAATCAAAACATATTCTTATATGTATAAAAATATATCTTTTTTATGATATTTGATAAGCACAGTATCAACATTTTCATTGTTATAAGTTTAGGTAAAATATCATTTTAGTTGACAGTTACAATTTTTTTTGCTTACACAAAATGAGAATGAAATGGAATATTGAGAATTCCTGGAATTCTCCATGAGTCTTTCATGTTACTCTAAGTCTTATAGGAAGAGACACTGACTGCCTTTGTTCAGCACTATATTTTAAATTTTTATAATGAACACCCTTGGAAGATATAGTGTCTACCTCCTGAACAAATAGTTGGTGTGTTTTTGTTTTTTGGTTTTTTTACTAAGCAGTATAGTAAAGGCAATGTCTCCTTCCCTTATAATAAAGATAAGATCAGGCAGGCTTTTACTGCCCAGTGTAAAAGATTAAGATTCCTAAGTTTAGTGTTCCTCTCCTCTAACACAACCCACGCATGTGACCACATCACCTGGCCTGCTTCTCATTGCCCTTTGGAATTTGTGGCTGGAGGAATTGGTGCAAATACTGATACTTGGGCTGTGCTGTTACTGTGAGTAGTAAACTGTCCTTAGTCTCTGACCCAGAAGTCTCCTATCATCTGCCAGCACATATGAAACTGTGGCTTGCTAACTTGCTTCTGCCTGTGTAGGTTTTTTTTGTTGTGGTTGTTGTTTAATGGAATACGTCCTTCTAATTTGTTCTTCAGCTTTCATGTTTCTCTTTACCATCTCATGAACTTCCATCTTTCAACCCAAACTACTGAGTTGAATTGTTGCATAATGTTCCCTTGTAATGTTTCTTATGGTTTATTTAAGCATTACTCTATTGATGGACATTTATGTTGTCCAGTTTTCTTTTCTTTTTGCTATGGTAATCAACGCCGTAAGAAGCGTCTTTGTGCTCCTGGGTATTACATCAGGTGAAATTCTTTGATGGTATTAATGAGGTATATATGTGTGTCTCGTTCTCTATAGGATGACATTTTGTTGAATTTTGCCAATCTAATTGAAGAAAACTTTTATCTCGATGTTTTAATTTGTACTTATTTAGTGAAGTTGAGTGTCATTCAAATGCTTATTGGTCCTTTGTATTTTTTTCTGTGAGTTGTCATTTCATGTTAATTGCTTAACTTTGAACACGCAGATCGAAATGACTGAAGCCCTACAAGCCAGGTCTATAGAGTTTCCCAGTTATTCTTTGAAGTCACCCAATGACTCAAGTCATCTTTTAGCATCCTGCACAACTGTCTTCCCTTGCTCTCTCTCCCTGGCTAATGCCTGCTGCACTTCAGACTTCAGAACTCTCTTAGTTCTCCGTCCCCAAAGTACTCTTTCACTGATCTCTGGGATCCATGCCCAGGATGCTATCACCTGATGTTCTCAGTGTTGCCATTGTTTAAATTATGGGAAGGATGGTGGGTTCTAAGCTAATAGGGAAACATCAATCTCTCCCCAACCCCATGACATGTTTTATCATCATGGTTCTGAAGGAACTTTGCCCATATATATTAGTTCTTGAACTCTCGCAGAAAGATAGCCATTTCCAATTCTTCCTTACATACCTTATTTCCTCTCAAAATTCACACACAATCCTCCAAATAGCTACCTGAATAGGAACAGGAAGTGGTTCAAGTTTGGAAACATTTCTATACTCTCTGGAAAAGCTAAAAACCTCTAGACAGAACTACAGCTTCACCAAATAGTATAATTTTCAATTCCAAACCTGTGCTGGTTTTGGTGTGATTTCACATTTTCTCCCAAGATCAATGGGTCCCACGTCTAAGCTCTATCCATGACCTCACATAGCCACCCTTTGACTATTCCTTGTGCCTAGAGGAGCACATGCCCATCAGGGTTCTAGATATAGACTATGAAAAAGATGAGGGGGAAAGAGCTCCAGGTGGGTTCGTCCAGTTGCCTCTTGGGGTGGGCAGGATTGAGGGTGGTGAGTTCAGAGGAAGACCTGAGCAGGGCTTTTGAATCATGGGGCCTAGGACAGAAGACCTCTTGCCTGAAATTAGAAATGGCAACTGGGTGGAAATGTCTGTCATACAATTCTTTAAAATCAATTTCCATCATAGGAGTTCATTGTGTGGTATCATTAAAATTACCAACCCTTCCCTCCCTGGGTTCAATTTAGACTTCTTGAGTTATTGATAGAGAGAAATTTATCCTAAACTGGCAGAGAAGTCTTGATAATACTAGCAGGAGGGCTGTGTTTTGTCATACATATGATGTCACAATCAGGCATTTGAAGCATAAATTCTCTATATAAATGTGTGGGGATTGTGTGTATATATACCCATATATACTCACACACATGTGTGAGTGCATGCATGCACGTGTGTGTGTACATACATGTTCACACACATATGCACATGCACACACACACACACAGTAGACAACCTCTAAAATATCCCCAGTGATCCCTACCTCCTGGTTTTCACATCCTTGTGTTACTCCCTTCCCTTGCATGTGGGCCAGATTTATGGGCTTCTGATAAACAGAATATGGCAGGAGGATGGGATATCACTTCTGAGATTAGATTACAAAAGGACTGTGGTTTCTGTCTTGGGCCCCCTCTCTCTTGTTCTCTGGCCTGCTGAGATCAACTTGCTATCATGTTGTGAGCTGACATAGAGAAAGGTCCACGTGAGAAGGTATTGTTGTCACTAGCCAAAAGCTGGAGAGGACCTGAAGCCTGCCAATAGCCGTGTGAGTCAGCTTGGGAGTAGATCCCCCCCACTGAAGACTTCAGATAACTATAGCCCTCGTCTGGCTTGTATCCTTGTGGGAGACTCTGACCCAGGGCACCCAGTTGAGCCACACCCAGATTCCTGACGCTCAAAATGGAGATAATAAATGTTTGTTGTTTTAAGCTTTTAAATTT